AGTGACTGCAGAAGTGGCTAAAGTAAGAGGTGGGGTTAAGAAGGTTCTGAAATGTGCACAAGAAGTATATGACTCAGGAGAGGTATTGAGCTAGCATCACTGAGGGAAACCACCTGGAGCAGAGAGAAGTTAAGCTGGACATGAGCCAGGCCCCTGCTCAGAACCTTACTGTTTGCTCCTCACCGGAGTCCTTACAACTGCCTCGGAGGACCTGATGTGATCTGTTTCTCCCCTTACCCTCCTGATCTCCTATCTGTCTTCTCTCCTGTTGCTTATCCCTTTCTGGCCACACGGGTCTCTGTGCTGAGGCTCTCACATGCTTCTGCCCTAGGACATTTGCCGAGGCTCCGCCTAAAGGAGAGGAGTGCTTAAGGAATGTTAGATTCTTAGATTTCTATCTCTTTCTTCCTTAACATCTTTGTTTACCGGCCACTCTCCCAAGAAGGCGGCTTAGCCACATGGCCTATTAGAAATGTTACCCTCTTGGGGCGCCTGGGTGGCTTAGTCAGTTAAGCATCCGACTTTTGCTTAGGTCATGATCTCGCGGTTCGTGGGTTTGAGCCCCACGTTGGGCTCTGTGCTGACTGCCAGCTCAGAGCCTGGAGCCTGTTTCAGAGTCTGTATCTCCCTCTCTCTCTGACCCTCCCCTGCTCGTGCACTCTCTCTCTCTCCTAGAAATAAATTTTAAAAAATATTTAAAAAAAAAAGAAATGTTACCCTCTTACATTCCTAATGCTCTCACCTTTCCCTTTTCCCATAGCTCTTCATCACCTTTTAACAAACTATAAAATTTGCATCTTTATTATGTTTTGTATTATTTTTTTCTCTCTCCCTCTGCAGAAGGCAAGCTCCACAAGACTGGCATTTTGACTGGCTTGCTGGCAAATGATCCCAAGTATCTGACACACAGTTGGTGTTCAGAAATATTTAATTTGGGGGCGCCTGGGTGGCTCAGTTGTTCAAGCGTCCGACTTTGGCTCAGGTCATGATCTCACAGTTTGTGAGTTCAAGCCCCGCGTCAGTCTCTGTGCTGACAGCTCAGAGCCTGGAGCCTGCTTTGGATTCTGTGTCTCCCCCCTCTCTGCCCCCTCCCCCACCCATGCTCTGTCTCTCTCTCAAAAATAAATATTAAAAAATATATATATTTAAAAGTATCTAATTTTTAAATAAGAAAATCAAAGTGACACCAACGTGAGCTCTTCCCTTAGGGCAGAGCCCCATAGTTATTGCCTTTTGTGCTTTTTTTGTGTCCACACAGCTTGTAATCCAGCCTGTAGGAACAGCAGCTGCCTGCGCCTAATTGGAGCAGGGAGAGAGATGGGCTAGAATTTTAACCATGACCTTCCTTTTATTGAAATTCAAGCAGGGCAGTGGTGAAAACCAAGCAATTTGTTGTCCTAACAGATTTATGAATGACAAACCACAGCTGAGAAGCTTTGAAAGGAAGGCAAAATCTGTCCTAGAAGGGAAAATAATCATGATTATGATATATTTGATCATGGTGTCTTTGTACGATGCTCTAACTTGCTGTGTATCATCTAAGCATTGTAACAAGCATTTACAGTACATAGAAATTACAATCCCCTAATAAACGGAAATGCTCATTATATATTTGTATTTAAGAAGAACTGAGGTAAAAGTCACATAATATAAACCTAACCATTTAAAGCGTGCCATTCAGGGGCGTGTGGGTGGCTCAGTTGGTTAAGCATTGGTCTCTGGATTTTGGCTCAGGTCAGGATCACAATTTCGTGAGTTCAGTCCCCACCTCCGGCTCTGCACACTCTCTCTGTCTCTCTTAAAATAAATAAACTTAAAAAAACAAAGTGTGCAATTCAGTGGCATTTAGTATGTCCACAGATGTTGTGCAGCCATTCCCTGTATGTAGTTTTCAAAACATTTTTAGCATCTCATAAAGAAACCCCATACTTTATGCAGTCAGTCTCCATTACCCTGTCCCCACAGTCCCTGGCGAGCCCTAATTTGCTTTCTGTCTCCAAGGGTTTACTTATTCTCGATTATTTCATATAAAGGGAATAATGGCTCCTTTTACTTAGCATAATGTTTTCGAGGTTCATTAGGTTGTGGTGTGTATCAATATTTCATTCCTAGTAATGACTGAATACTACTCCAATGTACGACGTACGACATTTTGTTTATCTAGCCATCATTTGACGGATATTTGGGTTGTTTCCGTCTTTTGGCTTTTGTGAACAGTGCTGCTTTAAACATCTGTGTGTAAGTTTTTGTTTCAACACCTGGTTTCAATTCTTTGGGCTTTGTCCCTAGGAGTGGAATATACATTTATTTTCACCCACTTTGTGCTGGGACTTTATTTTCTGCAAGACAGAAACATGAAGTGAGGTGGTACTAGATCTATTAGTGAGATCAAATACTAAGCATATTAAGAATATGCTTAGTTTTAAGCATTTAAGAATATTAAAATGTTGAGATGAGAAAGCAAAAATTTCAAATGAAAATATGTGAACCGCAGGCTGCACATGGTTGCTACAATTAGACTGAGAATTTGACTCCCAGGCACCTGGCAGGTGTCAAAGGCTTTTTAAAGTCAGAAATGAAACCCAGAAGTAAAATGTTTACATGAGCCTTGAAATCTAAAAGATGGGTTTGTCAGGGCACCTGAACGGCTCAGTCGGATGAATATTTGACTCTTGAGTTTGGCTCACACTGTGGTCCCCGCCAGGGCTCATGGGACTGAGCCTTGCATCCGGCACCACGCTGAACTTAGGATTCTCTCTCGCTGTCTCCCTGTGTCCCTCTCCCCTGCTCATGCGTGGTCTCTCTCTTGAAATGAAATGAAATGAAATAAAATAAAAATTTAGAAGATATGTTTGTCTATATAAAAATGAAGAGCTCTGTACAACCAAAGGGGGAAAAAAAAGTTAAAAGGTAACTAGGAAACCAGAGGGAACTGTTTACAAATTGGTAATGAAGAGTCAATATATAACATGTGAACAGATCATTTTAAAATGTCACACAATTGTGGTGCCTGGGGGGCTAAGTGGGCCAGGTCATGGTCTCGCAATTCACAAGTTCGAGCCTTGTGTCCGGCTCTGTGCTGACAGGTCAGAGCCTGGAGCCTGCTTTGGATTCTGTGTTTTCCAATCTCTTTCTGCCCCTCCTGCACTCACTCTCTGTCTCTCTCAAAAATAAATGAAAACATTTAAAAAAATTTAAAAATGTTACTCAGTATATTAAAGGGTAAGCAGGATTTGGGAATAAAAAAGGAAGATTCTTTTGAAGGGAGTAAGTAGTCTACTAGATTAGAAAATAACTTAAAAGACAGATAACATTTAGTGTTGATGGGGATGTGGATAAAAGTTCAACGTAAAACAGTGTTGGTGGGAATATATATCTGTAGACCTTTTTCGTAGGGCACACTGATAGCATAGATTGACATAGATCAATGGAATGGAATAGGGAGCTTAGAAATAGACCCACAGATCTTTGACGAAGGAGCAAAGGCAGCTCAATAGAGAAAGAATAATCTTTTCAGCAAACGGTGTTGGAACAATTGGAAATTCATATGCAAAAAGATGAGCTGACATGCAGAGGTTACCCTTCCACAAAAATTAACATATTATAGTGAAACTTCAAAACACCAGGGATGGAACAAAAATCCTAAAGGCTACCGGCGATAAAGGACAGATTACCTACAAAGAAAAGAACATCAGGGTGATATCAGACATTTCATCAGCAATACTGGATGCATAAAACAAATTCCAGCACATTCATGGACAGTGGGAGAAAGAAATGGACACACGGATAGACCTTAGATGTGCATCATCTTGCTGTGAGCTGAGGTATTGTGTTCTGTAACTTGCAAGTCTAGACTTAAAGCCATACAGAGAGCTAGAGTGTAGCCCAGGCCTGGGGGTGGTCTGGGGTACAATTAACTTATAAGAAAGAGAAGTGAGGGGCGCCTGGGTGGCTTAGTCGGTTGAGCGTCCGACTTTCACTTAGGTCATGATCTCGTAGTTCGTGGGTTCGAGCCCCACGTCGGGCTCTGTGCTGACTGCCGGCTCAGAGCCTGGAGCCTGTTTCAGATTCTGTGACTCCCTCTCTCTCTGACCCCCTCCCCCCGCTCACACTGTCTCTCTCTCTCTCTCTCCTAGAAATAAATAAAACATTAAAAAAAAAAAGAAAGAGAAGTGAAAGCAGGCATGTTAAGGAGAAAAAGATTAGTGTATTCAGTCGTGGCTAAGCTAATTCAGTAATGTACGTCTGGATAGCTGTAATTTTCCTCAACTGCGTATTTATTCTCTTTATACCAATCACAGCAAAGCAGTCACCAAAGATATTCATTTAATCCCTTTGCCATACTGTACTTTCTATAGAGCCTCTCACAGCTGACAGGATTTACTGTAAAGAAAGCCTTCTGGTCAGTGTGATTGCTTAGAGCGTGACAGCTTCTTCTGCTGTAAGAAATGATTTGGGGAGAAAGGCTCTTGCTCAGAAACAATGTAGTTTAGCCTAGTCCATTAATCAGAAAGTATAATGCTGGGAGATGCAATTTCATCGTGTGGAAAACTTTTGATGTGTTATCTCATCCACTTACCAAATGCAGCCTTGCAATTCAAATCCCTCCATATACCAGCAGATGGATTTTTATGCAAGCACACAGAGATGGGTACCGGGAGAATGAGAAGTTCCAGAGCACGGCTTCTGGCTCTACCTGACACAGGACTCAAAGAACCAAATTTATAACTGAGTGCTGGTCAGACGGCAGACCTCTCAGCTTAGCCAGTTATGTAAATGCGACTGCAAGAATGATTTGTACCAGGCACAGTTTCGGGCGAAAGCCCCATTGTGGTAGAGGCCTATCCTTGGTCTGCGTCATTTTAAAAGTTTTGTTTTGTTTTGCTTTCTTTCCGCTTTGATTTGACTTTCCTGACTTCTGGGGAAGCGGCTGTAGGCACACAGAGTAAGACCTTTTGTAAATCATAATCTTCATAAAGATATAAGGTCAGCAGAAACCGTGCTCGATTCGGCAGCTAAATGCTAAAACTGGAACCGTACAGAGGAGATGAATATGGCTTCTGCACAAAATGATGCGCAAATTCGTGAAGCCTCTCCTATTGAAAGAGAAATCAGAAACATGGGAATTTAAAATTTTTGTTTATAAGTTTATTTATTTGAGAGAGACAGACACAGCACAAGTCGGGAAGGGCAGAGGGAGAAGGAGAGAGACCATTGCAAGCAGGCTCTGTGCTGCCAGCACAGAGACCAAAGTGGGGCTTGAACCCAAGAACTGCAAGATCATGACCTGAGCCAAAACCAAGAGTCTGACGCTTAACCAGACTGAGCCACCCACATGCCCCATGAAACATTGAAATTTTAATCCCTCCCTGTGGTATCTTTATAAGGTCAACAGGTAGGAATTTTCAAGAATTGGCTAAATAGATTTTAAAGCATTGTCTTTGGGTCCTCCATGCCAAATCAAAGCCCAGAATATGGTGATCATTGGAAGATGCCATTAGGACTGTACCAAATGCCCTATTTGTGTCCAAAAGTTATCTGGAGACCCCAAGGGATTGAAAAAGAGTAACTTTTTTAGAAAATTTATTTCTGAGAGAGAGAGAGACAGTGTGAGCAGGGGAGGGTCAGAGAGAGAGGGAGATACAGAATTTGAAGCAGGCTCCAGGCTCTGAGCTGTCAGCACAGAGCCTGACGTGGGGCTCGAACTCATGAACCGTGAGATCATGACCTGAGCCGAAGTCGGATGCTTAACCAACTGAGCCACCCAGGCACTACAAAAAAGAGTACTTTTTAAAGCACGGTTTTACATATTGTGCTCCTGCCTAAGGTTTCATTTGGAGAAAGCGTGAAAAGTTTGTGAACAATACCCTGGTCTAGATGGAGAACGGTGTTAGGAACCTTAGTTCATGGGCCACGTAGTTACTTGATATTGTAAAACTGTTTTATTTCCAAATATGTGTATTTTTTTTGTTCCCTACTCTCTTTTCCCAGGTGTTTAGCAGTAAAATTCCCCTGAACTTCAGTTGTATTTAACAGCTTCTCTTGGGGTGTGGAGAAGGAAATATAAAAAAAATATAAGGGGTAGGAAATGAAACTACTAGAAACAGTAAGATGATTCATTAAGAATCCCAATTATAAATTAATATACAAAATCTGGAGATTTCTTATATGCAAACATTAATATATTTTATATAAATGATATAGACATTTATATAGGAAATACAGTTGAAAAACAGGTTCCATTCATAATGGCATTATAGAACATAATATACAGAAATAAATGTAAAAACTGTAAAGGTCCTTTTGGAAGAAAACTGTAAAACTTCATTGTGGGGCCATAAAAGAAGCCTTGAATAAATACATTAAGTACTTTGTTTTAAGTCTCTGAATATTTATCATGATTTTGTTATTTAAATACAAATTGTGGACATTTTCTTAAGGCAGTAGATGAATTACAACAGGCCTTTATCACATGCATAGAACTTGACTGAATGGGTATACCTACTCTTACTAGTTCCTAAAGGCAAATATTAGAATGCTTCCAATTTTTCTATATTGGAAACAATGTAATATGAACTTCCTCATGCATGTATTTCTCTTTTTTTAAAGAAGCATGCCATTTCTTTTTTTATTAAAAAAATTTTTAATGTTTATTTATTTTTGAGATAGAGAGACAGAGTATGAGTGGGGAGGGGCAGAGAGAGAGGGAGACACAGAATCTGAAACAGGCTCCAGGCCCTGAGCTGTCGGCACAGAGCCCGAAGTGGGGCTCAAACCCACGAACCATGAGATCATGACCTGTGCTGAAGTTGGACGCTTAACTAATTGACTGAGCTATCATGGCACCCCCTTATACCTATATTTTTATATATCCACTTAATAATTTCTAGAAGTGGAATTGCCGGCTCAGAAAGTCTGCACGTTTAATATTTTGGCAAATGCTGTCAAATTGTCCTCTGAGAAAGATTTACCAAAACGCACTCCTACCAGTGTTTTACAGTCCCTTTTTACCCATGTTCCTTTAATAGTGAATGTTATCTGTCTCTTAACATTGTTTTCTCAGCCTGCTAGATTCTCCCCAATACAATTTTTTTTCCTAAATGCCTGTTTATGCTTCAATATATTAGGTTGTCTTTTTTAAAAACCTGATTTTTAGGTATTAATTATACATTATGGACATTGGCCTTTTGATACCTATGCTGCAAATAATTCCCTCCAATTTCCTAGTTATCTTTTAATTTTTCCCCCTTTCATTGTACAGAAGTTCTTCATTTTTATGTAGTCAGACCTGTCTTTTAGATTTCATGGCTTCTGTAAATATTTTACTTTGGGTTTCATTCCTTACTTGGACAAGCCTTAGACACCTGTCAGTTGCCTAGAAGTCAAATTCTCTGTGTAATTGTAGCAACCATGGGGACCTTGAGGCTACGCGGGTGTGACTCCAGTGGCTTCTCATCCCGGTAAGCAAGGTCTTGGCTGTAAGTCATTGTATGCACCTGTCTCTCCAGATTACCGGGTGTTATCTGTCCTGTTACCTCAGTTCTGTGATGGGTCCCAGGAAAGCCATTGATGTTCAGTTTGCTCAGCTGTTTCTTGTTGGAATGTAAGAGTGATAATTTGTAATCTTTTTACATATTGGAGCTGAAACCTGAAGCCCTTTACCGTATATTACTTTTATGTCAGTGCTGAATAGGTTTATGTAGATCCAGTTTAGCAGTCCTTGGTGAAGGGCAGGTTTGGGCGGGGCACGGAGGAGTGGCGTATCAGGAATTAGTGTTGTCTAAGGAACATCTGAAGAGTTTTACTGTTTTTATTTTTTAACGTTTATTTTTGAGAGAAAGAGATACAGTGTGGGAACAGGCAAGGGGCAGAGAGAGAGGGAGACACAGAATCTGAAGTAGGCTCTGGGTTCTGAGCTGTCAGCAGAGAGCCCGACGCAGGGCACGAACCCACGAACTGTGAGATCGTGACCTGAGCCGAAGTCGGGCGCTTAACCGACTGAGCCACCCAGGCGCCCCCTGAAGGAGTTTTTAGACAACGAAGGAAGGATATCAAGTGGTTGGATATACAGGTGTGAGTCAGGTAAAGCGCTGGGCTGGAGATAAAATTTCCAACTCAGCATAAATATGATACTGAAAGTCTCCAGTAGCTTCCTGTCTCCCTCAGCTAAAGTCCTCAGTACATTCTGTGAGAGCTAAATGGTCTGGCTCCGGGTATTTCCCTCACCTCCCCTTCTCGCCTTGTTCACTGAGCTTAAACCACACTGACGTCTTTGCTAGTTCTTAAATAAACAAGGTCTGCTCTTGCCTCACGGCCTTGGCCCTTGCTGCTTCCTCCGCCTGTAATGATTTTCCTCCTGGTGCCTTCTCTCGCTTTTCCTGGGACTCAAAACCACCTACTCCATGACGTCTTCCCTACTTGAAATTACCTACATGAAATTACTTATGTAAAATTCAGCCGCTCGTCTGGGTGCGTCATATCTTACCTACTCTCCGATCTATATTGTTTATGCCTTGTTTCTCCCAGGAGATTGTGAGCGCCATGGGGCAAGGGCCTTTTCCTGTTTTGCTCTATCCTCAGGTTTTAGGTCTATGTTGTAGAAGTAAAAAGAAACAGGTGCAAATAAATTGAAAATATATTGTACTTAGGGACGCCTGTGTGGCTCAGTCAGCTAAACATCCAACCCTTCTTGATTTCGGCTCAGGTCATCGATCTCACGGTGGTTTGCGGGATCGAACCCTGTGTTGGGTTCCACGCTGACAGCTGACAGTGCCGAGATTGCTTGGGATTCTCTCTCTCTCTCTGTCCCTCCCCTGCTCACTCTCTTTGTCTTTCTCAAAATAAAGCAACATTTTAAAAAATGTATTTAACCCGTTCTAGCCAAAGTTTTGTCATTTCATGTAATGTAGTCATATGATCATAAAAATTAGTAATGAGATAATTTACATTCTTTTTCATGTTTGAAGTATTCAAAGTCTGGGATGCATTCTATACTGACATCACATCTAATTTGCACCAGCCGCATTTCAAGGGCTCCAGAGCCCCATGTGGCTAGAGGCTGCTCTGTTGGACAGCTTGATGAGGCTTGTGGGCTATGTTTGAATTGGGCATTTTTCTTAGAAGAAGTGGGATGTTATTGAAGGGGTTTAGGTAGATTCAGGAGTGACTCAATCAATTTTGTGTTAACACAAATCACTGTGGCAGCAGAGTACAGAATGCATTGGAGGGAATCAAGAGTCTATGCGGGCAGATCAGTCTAGGGCGCTGTGAGAGAGATTCACGGAGAAACTGATGTGGTACCTTGACTAGGGTGCTGGCTGTGGGAGAGCAGAAGAAAGAAAATTCAGGAGACATTGAGCCAGTACCTTCCACAAGGCTGGACAATAATTGGTTCCAAAAAAATTAGCAAACTTTATTTATTTATTTACTTATTTATTTATTTTAAAATTTTTATGTCGTTATTTTACTTTGAAAGAGAGACAGAGAGTGAACAGGGGAGGGGCAGAGAGGGAGGGAGACAGAATCTGAAGGAGGCTCTATGTTCTGAGCTGTCAGCACAGAGCCTGATGTGGGGCTCAAACCTACGACTGTGAGATCATGACCTGAGCCGAACTCGGATACTTAACTGGCTGAGCCACCCAGGCGCCCCATAGAGCTAACTTTATAAGTCAGGTAATAGTTTGATTTTAATGATCTTTTGTCTCCTGATAGAGAACAGGTTTGAATGAAACAGTGACGGTGGCATGGGCTTTAGTTTTTAATGGATAAACCTAAATGACCACATGATGGCGCCAAAACCTTGAGAGTTAGTGTGGCTGTTCAGACAGGTGGGCAAATTCCTTCCACAGAAACGTCGCCACCTTCATTTAGTTATTTTATTTTAAAAAACAAATTCATGGAGAGTAAGTGAACTTTTGTCAAAGTAATTTTTTTCTAATCATGTTCTTAAGTCAGCAGGTAAAACTGACTTAGTTCTCATTATTTTATACTTCAAAACTGGAGTTTTCTAACCCAGAGTAGCACATTCTCAGAGTGGTGCAGAAGAAAGATGAAGTCCTGCATTTATTTATTTAAGAATGAGACCAGCAAGATCTGTGTATAATA